ATTATATACGAAATTGATAGCGCAAAAGCAGGTGAGCTTCTCTCATTATCTTTTGACATCAGGAACAATTACTTCCTTGACATAACTTAATAGCTGCGGAAGAGAGATAAACTATATATCTGAAGAAAATTTGTAATATGGCTCAAATATATAGTATTATTCTGCACGCTTCAAGGGAAAATATTTCGTAAAACAAAATTGAAAAATATCTGTTCTAGATAGTTTTTTAAATTAAAAAGTTGATGAGAAAAAACATTTTTTAATTATTAAAGAATTTGAATTAATTTTTTTTTTTTTTGCATTAAAATTTTGTTTCATTATTGTATTTGGTATTTTCTTCTTCAAAAATTGTATAATAATTTTTTCAATGCTATTTGATTCATGGAAGAGTATTTTTGTAAAGGAATTCTAAATTTTTTTTATTTAAAAATAATAAATACTACAAAATTTGTAATTGGAATTTTGAATTCTGAAAAACTTTTGCCAGTTTCGTAATCAGCGACCCCGAAAATCTCTAAGTAACGATTTTTAAGCAAATCTGATGAACTTGACAAAAGTGTATTAATATCGATTTGTTAATTTTAAGCGAGAAAAAAAATTACGTTTTACCGACTGCTGGTAATAAAGAAATATACCTCTACATACTGGTGATAATGTAGGAATCCACTTTTTCGTCAGACGGCAAAGAGATGAACACAAGAATATTGTTAACCGACTGTCAATAATATAGGTGCCACCATACTATTAGTTCGCGATGAAGAAAATAAAAAAATTGCGATTTATCCGAACGGTAATGGAGATAGCTACCTTACAATCAGTCAGTAAAAGAAAAATTATGATAAAGGGTAGATTAAATTCGATGTAATTTTTACATACAGCTTCAATGGGAAAATTGCATCGATTTTTACCTCCCCTTAATTTTAGCTGGTAATACAAGAATCTAACTTACCAACAGTCGGTAAATAAAATCTGTAATTTCAAATGGACTAAATTGGAGAAAGTGAAATTTGTTATTAAATTTCAGAATAAAACACTTGATTTAAAAATATTAAAAAATTTGGATTTGATATTTTTAAAATAAAGAAAAAAATTTTTTTAATAGGTACTTATAATGAACATTTAATTTGATTAGTTTTACTTATAATTTATGTGTACGCAAAATTTAGAGCTAGTGCATAAATGTCAAAATTTCGAGCCTCTGTTTTTGGGTCAAATAGTTTGATAGGAGAATATAGATGCAATATAGGACTCTATATTAAATCGAGAAAATAATTAAACTTTAATCAATCAAATTACTATTTATTTGATACGATAGAATAAAATATTTAGGTCTTATAAATATTTATATGGTACAAGTATACAGATTGAATTGATAATATATAAGAAAATGATTTAATTGGATCAAATAATTTTTATTTGTTCAAAATAAATTTTTTTTTTCATTGTATATTATCATTCGAGGTATAACTAGAAGTGTAACACAATTTTGAATATGAAATTGAATACAAATCATAGTTAATAAGGCTTGAATATCCATGAAATAACTAGTTCAATTAAATTAATAATGTAATTTCAATTAAACATGTATTTTAACTAATAAACGCACTCAGTACACATTGAATATGCTGATATGATTCTACAATACATATTTGAATGTATAAAGTAAATTAATTTCAATTATGAAACTAAATATTTCGCATGTAAATAAAATCTAAGCCTACAATATTGTCAAATCGACAATTTTCCATACTACAATACGACATTTAAAAATACGGTCATTTAATTTCAATATAAATCAATGAATAAATTATTAAATTACATTAAGATGAAAATGTCTCTGAATTCTATAGATTATTTAAAAATTATTTTCCAGAAAAAAAATTAAATATTCAATAATTCTTTGTTGAAAAATAAAATCGTGCAAATTCGCATATTTGTTTAAAATTCCAGTGTCATATGGTGCCTCATTTTTATAGCTTGCGGTGCAATTGGAAGATGGGGATAATTTTTTTTTTTTTTCTTTAAAGAAAAAATTCTGAATTACGATGTGCCATTAGGATTGCAATGTATGCCCATCACAGAATTCATAATTCTACTAGAGAGTGTAACACGACTCTCCACTTCGCTAACCTTGCGACGTGATCACTAACACCCTTCTGAAACCGAAGGTATGTCCTTTGATCCTGTCGTTTGTAGATGTGTCCCGTTGCGTACGCACTTAGGTGAATATATGTTCGCCTTTGTCATTCTCCACTTCTTATACTACCCACTATCTGTTCGTATCAGCGTCGGAGAAACGAAATTTCCCTGAATTATTTCCCTTAGACTATTTGAAACGAACTCTTCTGTCACAGACAGCCATTTCAGATTCGTATATATATCAAATATATAATGGAGATTCGCCAAAAAAAAAAAAAAAAAAAACAAGAAAAATTCATATATAAAGAAAACGATAATTTCTTCGTGTATATATGCTCTGTAATTGATTCGATTATATGAAATCCTATATTCAATATTCGTGAAGACCGCCTCAAAACTCTTTTACAAAAGCATCTCTAGACAGAGACCAGAATCAGAGGAAATTACGTAATTTCCCGTTTCCCTCTAACTACAGTTCAGGAACGCTGTGTTCTTGACGCCAAGAGTCCTATGAGTTAATATTTTGCATCTGACAGCAAGTCAAGATGTGCGATCCGTCTGATATAGAAATCCAAAGACAATTTTCACTTTACACTCTCTGGGGGAATTTTTCGTTTTGAATATTTATATATATTTTTTATTTTTACAGCAAAAAAAAGAAAAAAAATGAAACGAAAAAATTTAATTTTCTTAAAAAATATTTTTTAATTTTCTGTTTTTCCAAATAAATGTTTACAGGAATATTTTTTTTAACTATAATAAACTTCTCTACTAACAAATATTCGCTTCTTTCTTTGTTGTTGTTATTATTTTAATATCAATCAAAATGTTAATAAACAAGTTGTAAATTCAGATGTTCATTACATGAACATTTTGCTTCCTCTTTACGATCAGCAAAAAAATTTGCTTCCTCGTGAAGAAAGCATTACCATTGAAATAAACATACAAAAATAATATAATAATATAAACATTTGAGTACCTATAGATTTGAGTTAAATTTAAAGAATTAATGTAAGTTAAAAAATCAAAAATTCATATTTTAACCGAAATTTCTAAATATTAATGAAAAATAATATATAATTTATAATTATTTACAATTATATCGGTTTGTTTCAATGAAAGGGACACAATTATTTCATATTTAAACTTGAATTTAAATAAATACAAAATTTTTCAGCTAAAATGGGAATTTTTTTTTTAACTTTCATTAATTTATTAAATTTACCTCAAATGTATACTTTATATGAATCCAAACGATTCGTTTTCATGCAAGGAATTCAATTATTTTATATATAAACTTCAATTTTAAAAATCACAAAATTTTATTGCCAAAATGTGAATTTTTGATTTTTTAACTTTCATTAATTCTTTAAATTTACCTCAAATGTATACTTTATATATATCGATCGATTCGTCTTGACGTAAGGAATATGATTTTATTATATATAACCTTAAATTTTTCTATTTAAAAATTTTTTCGATTAAAAAAAATTTTTTGGAAAAAAGACGATAAAATTTTTTTTTTTGGGTATTTTTCAAAATCCTTTGGTCAGATTTGAGATATTAATATGATAAATGAGCCTACCAAATTTTATCTAAATCCATTAAAACCTGTTAAAGTTATCGTCTAAACAAAAAAGGGATCCACACACACACGCACATACATACATCCGGACAATTGATCAGGATCTCATATAACATGTTTCTATATAGAAAAAAATTTATTTCCGCCACATTGAAAATTTTTATAAACGAAAGGACTACAAAGCTTCCTCCACGAGGAAGCAAAATGAAATATAATAAAATATTTATAAAAAATAGTAAACAATATATAATAATAATAATATAAAAAAGATTATTATTGAATTTGAGAAGAGTATTTTCATATGCGTGTCTATAACACATCAACACAAAATCATCGGAGAGTTACTAACACCATTACTTCCCGTACTATGTCTCTGAGATTCCTAAATCTCCAAAACGTATTTAAGTCGACAGTATATAGTATAATGGGGCGATAGTAGTGTAATGCGGGTAGTTTTATACAGTCAGAGTTCAACACAGCAAGAGTATAACAGTGACAACTCATTGTCAGTTAATGTATAACACAGTAAAAGTGCATCAAATACAAAAGACACTTGTTCCGTCATACATAGTAGAGAATTTGCGTCTGACGCCGGTTATATCATCCAAGTAACGCGGTCTTTCTAGGAGACACAAAATCAGTTCCACAAAGGACAATAAATTCCTTACTGCAGGAAAGTCAAACGGATACCCAAGGGATATAAATAAAGGATTTTAAAAACACAATAGAGATGATTCTTCAAAGTAATTTTTAAAACTAATTACATTGAAGGATTATTTGAAACACACATATACATATATCCATACATCTTTTTGAAATTAAAAATAATTTAACAATATTATTGAATTGTTTAAATAAGCGTTGCAGCTTATTTTAATGCTTTTTAATTTTCTGTGAACTTTGTTTAAATTAACTAAGTTAAATCGAAAATTACATTCAAAAATATTATAAGTTTATAGAATAGGCAGAATTTAAATATCATTCTAAAATTATTAAAAAATAATTCAATTTATTAAAAATACAAATCCGACTATTTTTGTAAATTAAATCAACTAAGACAACTATTTTTACGCCTTAAATTTTTTCCGAGGTTTGTTTATCTTTTAACAATAAATTTTATAATTTTTTCATTTTTTATTTCATGAATACATAGTTTAAAAAAACACAAAAAACTTTTTTAAAAGAGAAGAGAAAAGATGTTTCTTTTAATCTTATATCAACTTTTTTGATCATAAAAAAAAGATATTAAAAGAAAATCTATATTTGGTGAGTTACATTTACGATAGCGACTCGAAATTTAATAAAAAGTTTTGATTTTATAAAAAGTTTCTTCAAAAATGTAAATTACACATATATATATATGAGTACACTGCTTAATACATATAAAAGAGAAAAAAAAGTTTATTGATGAAAGTGAATATAGAAGTTTTTTGTTGAACCTTGTATTGAGAGCGAGTAGTTAAAGTTCGATTGAATAGATATCAGAGTTCCTGAATTGTGACCGCGGAAACCGGCAACAAGGTACCGGCTGACACAAATTTGATTTCCATTGGACCCGGCGGACTTCTTTTCTATCGGCGCGCGAGTTTTGCGTGGCACCACGTGTGCCACGTAAAAAATACATTTTGTACCAGGCGACAGCATAAAATAGATTTTTATAATATAACAATTTTCATTATAAATACCAATATGTTAAAAATTGTCAACTTATTAATTTTCCAATAAAGTTGATTTATTTCCTTTTATTTTTGTTAAGCAAGTAAATTAATAAATGATCAGAGCAAGGTCAATTAAATAAATATGTTAACTTCTTTCATTAAAGGCTTTGATGAAAAATTATTTTCGTCTACAGGATTCTAGAAATTTATTATACAATTTTTAGAAGATAATACGTGAAATTTTATTCATAATTTTCTTATACCATTCGTATTTATCATTTAAAGTATTTTCATACATTAGCCTCACATATAAAACCTTGCCCAATACTTCTAATCCTTCAATGACCTTTAAAACACGTTCTTCTAAATGAAACTTGCTTCCAGGTAAAAGAATTACACTCTTCTCTTTTTTGTTGTAAAATTCTTCTATTTTTACCCTTAGATATGGCCCAGTAAATTCCATTTCATAAAAAATATTTACATATCCAGCTGCAGGATAACCAGCAAATCTAATAGCTGATTCTATACTAGTATAAGCTTGTGTAAATTTTTGCAGAGTAATGTATTCTTTCCGAGTTGCAGTTCTAAGAAATGGAATTGGTTTAGAATCAACTATAAATAATTTTAATTCAAAATCCTTCTTCAAATTGTCAGACTGTCTTATAGCTAATTTATATAAAGCAAGTTTCATTAGTTTTGCTTCATGGGTATCTCCAGTTATTCTTGTATATCCTGTTGTCACGTAATTTCTTATTGCATAATAATCATGAAATGTGACAGAATACCTTGCGTCCTGTTCATTGTAATTTTTAACTATATTTTTTAACGATGTATTTTCTTCAATCCTACGTCTTTCTGCTTTCGAGTAAAAAGAACTGATTCTAAATTCTGCATCATATTCTCTTATATCATGTCCTTCAAAATGTGATTGATATCTTAATTCACTTAAAATATTAGAATTGTCTATTATATAGTTTTGACTCCATGTAGGTTCTTCAAATAAAGTGTTTTTAAACAAATCATTGATAAATTTATTTAGAGTTGTACTATTTGGAAATGTGTATTTTTCAAACATATTGCGTATCTGTTTCTCAGAAAAATTTGTATTGTTCTTGATAAACTGTACGGCTCTTTCTTCGTAGTCAGATTTTTCAATGAAACGTCCTCGCCTTCGGCAATAGTTAAAAGGTTTCCACATTTCAAAATAATTCATATCATTACACTTCTCATCATAATCATCAGCTTCAATTGATATTCCAATAAATGAAACTTTAGTAGGGTACCTTTGAAGTTGGTTATTAATTTCATACATCATATGCTTAGGTTCAGATTTAAAAGTTACGTTATTGAAAGTAACATATATTTTCACTTCTTTTTCCGAGCTTCTGATTTGTGAAACTAATATCTGATTTTTAAATTCATAATCAGTTCTTAACTGTGCAGTTTTTGACATATTGTCAGATACAAAGATAAACCTATAACCATAACCAGTATCAGTTCGATTATTTAAAGTATTTACAAAAATTAATCGACTATTATTTTCATCTATAGTACCAATGCTATTGTAAAAGTTGGATTTTAAAGTTGATATTTTAGAGAGACTTCCAATGACTGATGTAAAACTGAAATCGGTCTTTTCTTTTAAAGAATTTATTAATTCTTTAAGTACACTTATCTTGTCTTTAGTTGTAAATGTTAGCAAAAATGCTGGATCTTTTATGTGTAAACAAATATCATCAAATATTTTATCTCTATTCAATGCGTTTGTTATTGAGAATTTATAATTTTGTTCTACTCTTACAATTTCATTCACAGTTTCACTACTTGCAATTTTTAATAATAATGACCTGATATTTGTCCCTAATGATAACAGAATAGAAACTAAATTATTGTTTACTGCTATTGAAGTTATTTCATGTGGGTATTTGTAAAAAAAATTTATCTTATTTGATGAACAAATTTTCCAGTAATTGGCCTTACACATATTAGATAAACAAGGATAATATGGCACTAATGATAAACCAAACTCTTTCCACCAATAATTTTTTAGGTGCTCATTTTTTTCTTTACAATTGTCTAAAATTTCTAACTGAGACTCAAATCGTGACTTTTTATACTTTACTAAGTTTTGAATAAATACATTAACGTTCTCGTCAGTTCTTTTAAGAATTTTAGATGTTGCTACACTGAATAATTTTTCAAAATATAATTTGTCTTTTGTAAAAATTTGTGTATTAGCGTAATTGGTTAATATCGCATTATAATTTTCTCGTTTTAAAATATAGTAATCGAAAATTCTGTCATTGAGAAAAAAAACTTCCAGAACATCATAAGATAAATGTTCGGATTCATCAAAATCACCATGTTTTGTATTGTTAGGAACTAGCAATTTTATAATAACTTGAGTTTTGTTAAGTTGCTCTATTAGAGATTTCGGAAAGGCATCTTGGACAATTTGAAAATCATATGCTTCATATAATTCGTTGATGTTATAATTAGAGTTCCAAAAATATTCTTTTAGATTGACATCTTTACATTGAATAGATTCAGGATAATGTGAAGAAAGAAAGAGTGTAAAATTTTTTTCATTCACGTCTAAATGTGGACAATATTGTTCCATAAAAGTTTCAGTTAATGCGGCACTACTTTGAAATGCAGAAAGAGCAATGTGCATTTTTAACTTGTAGTCATTTTCTAACGTATGGTTTATATCATTAAAAACTTTAGCTGTATATTGAAACAAATTGTTATAAGCTGCTTGCCAAAAATCTGGATCGAAAATTATATTTGCCATGTTTTCATTGGTATATAAATATTTTGAATTGAAAATAAAATGCGTAAGAGCTGGAAGAGCAAAAGCTTTCAACATATAAAAATTCTTCTCTTTAGTTAGAATTAATGTTTCTATTATATGACCGATCACTAAGTATTCGTCAAATAAATTATCCTCAGTCAGATTTGCAAAATTTTCTTCAAAATCAATATAATTATGATTATTTATTCTACCAGCTCGGAGAAACATTGAACCAGCTTGTACATAAATATAATCAAGGGACAATAAACTAAGATTAGCTTTCGGCAGAGGAAACATAGGTAATATTATGTCATAGTATATTCTATCCACTGATAAAGGACTGAGAATCGATCTGTCTCCATATTCGTTTTCATAAGAAGTATTTCCAAGATTTATTTTTATTATATTCAGCACTTCTTCTATTTGTAAAGTTTCTGCTTTACAAAAAATATCTGCCAAGAAACCAAAAATACTACCATACTTGTCAAATACTATAGAGCTAATAATGTACTCGAACATCGCATTAACAAAAGTGATATCAACGTGTTCTTCTTTTTTTGCTCCATACAGATCGCTCCCTTTTAACAAGTTTCTAATTAATTCAACTTTCTTGACTTGATTATTCTCGTGATGCTGAATGTATTCATAAAGTGCATTAAGAATTGGTATTTGTTTATTTTGATCGATTTCTGCTAGGTATAGTTCAGTGAATAAAAAATCACTCAATATATTTAAATAAGTGTAAATTGGTATAAGCGTTATCGTTTCTAGTGGATTTTTAAATGTGTCCATTCTTGATAGATGAGTTCTGATAATAGTTGACTATTTAAATTATCATTCTATGAGTTGAAATATCGTCTGCAATATAATATGTGTAGTTATTGAATAATAATTTCTCAATACCTACGTCAGTGAAGTTTACAACGTTTATGATCAACGAATTAGAAGAAATGTTATTTTTCTATGCAAATTATTATAATTTTTTGTCTAAAAATATTTGTGTAACGTTTCTACATCAATAAATTTTTAAAACAAAAAATTTCATAATTTTTTACTTGAAAAATTTTTTTTATTTTTAATCGTTAGTCATAAACGTTGTAAACTTCACTGACGTCAATACCTGACAGAACCAAATCACATTATGACTATCGGATATATTCACTGAGAAAAATGCGAACAGGTTAAGACAACCATAAAAAGAGTAGTTAAGAAATATAGTTATAGAACACACAAATACTGGTTACAGTAACCAGAAATATAGTTATATTGACCAGAAAAATGATGGTTGTGGGAACCATGAGCGTGGTGAAATTTGTCTTCAACTACAAATGACTATTTTAGGCAACGTGGAATGATAGGTTGCGATAATATGGAGGCCCTGGTTATAGTAAACAGGAATTTTGGTTAAACAATTTAGAGTTTTCGAATCTTAAAATAGGTTAAGTCTCCCATATTTAAAATTAAATTTACCTTTTTCTGTTCAAGTGTTTATTGTTTTTAATGTTATGTGACTAATTATAATTGTACATAATTAATAGATTTGTTTATGTAACTTTTTATACTCGTTTTTAGACGATTTGCTGTTAAAAATTAATAATTAATGAATGATACATTTTTGAATTTAGTTTTCAACTACCGTCCTGGTTGTAGTAACCAGTTTTATATGTCAAGGTAACAAAATTTTTTCTGGTTTGAATAACATATACAGTAAGAAAAGCTCCATGGTAGTCACAGCCCATGAGTGCGAGTGAGACAAACTTATGCGTAACGCATGCTTTCCTATGACTACCATGGTACTTTTCTTACTGTATATGTAGTCAAAGACAAATTTCACCACAAAAATCTAGTTGTATGAACCAAGAATTTCTCTCGGTGTTAGAACATTAAGAACTCATTTCGCGCTGATTTAGTATCTAATTTTCTAATTTCCGACTCTTTATTTATAAAAAAAATTCATGGTTTTTTGTTAGTTTTAATTATAGTTAGCAGAATTTCCTATAAGAGAACGTTTAAAAAGGTATTTAACTCAATTTTCTAAAAGCCAAAAATTTTTGTTTTCAGTTACCTTAGAAACCTTCCATTTATACTGCAATTTATGTAATTGTCAAAAAAGACAAAAACGATTCAAAATTTGTATCATGTGTAATAAATTAGTTCTGTTATGCTGCCGCTACGATATCAAAATTTTGAAATATCAACTATGACATAATTTAGGGCTAATTAAAGCTCACAATTAATAAATTGCCACCTAACGTTTTTTTTAAAACGGGGGTTGGTGCCAGCTTAACGTTAATTAAGCTGATCCTACCAGCTTTAAATTCATATTAAATAAAAATAAATTATAAACTTTCTATGACCATAATTCGAAATGCAATCCTTAAATTAAATACTTTTAGCACTTTAAGCATATACAAAAATCGTCTTCTATATAATCAAATATCTATCGAAGTTTTAAATTCACTTCTCCAAATATTCCAAATATTCGTAACAAAATTTTGGTTGGAATTTTAAAATGTCGAAAAAATAAGTGGTGCTTTATTTTTAAAAATCAACTATATTGGTTTCTTTATCAGTCGTGACTGAAATAATTATTAAAAAAATTAATTATTAAAAATTAATCAGGGTGTCCAGCGGTCAGGGAAGTTATGGAAAAGTCAGGGAAATTTTTTGGTCAGGCAAAAGTCAGGGAACTCTTTAAAAATTTGTCAATAATAAACATTTTTATGAATTTTTTAAATTTTCCGATGCAAGAAAAACTTTATAATGCTAATAAGAAAAGGTTTTTTATTATCTTAAAAATACTTTAATATTTGATACTTTTCATTTTTTTAATATTAAATATTTATTAAAGAAAAGTTGGAAAAAGTCAGTGAATTTTTTTTGTACTTTTTACTGGACACCCTGTTAATAATTTTAAAAAAGTGATTTATGATTGTCGATATAATTACGAATTTGGAGTTCGTTTTTGAACATTCAAAATGGCGGAAATGAGTCGTAAATTTTAGTGTTTAGAAAATTGATTTATATACTTTTTTAACCAATTTTTGAGTAGATTCTGCTGGCTATAATGACTCAAAAAATTACTCATAACTTAAAAACATTATTATTTATTTATTTGAAATTATTATTTTTTAGAATACAATTTTAATCACTCAAGATTGTTACTTTGATCCTTCTTTTTTCTCCGTGTAATATATAAAAAATCGAGAAAATGCTTAAGAAAGTAATTTAAAAATACATTTTTTTACCTGCTATTGTTAATGAAACGATGTAGTTTTCAACAAATATATTATTATAAGATCAATTTATTTCCTAGACTAAAGTTGAAATATATATATAATATGTACATACGTTGAAAATGTTTAGATAAAATTTTTGTTTATCTACTGATAAAACGTTTTACTATTTTTAACGTTCTATTGACACAATTGAAAAAGTAAAATTTAATTTCAAGTCACTACACAGATAACACAGGTTTACAAATTTCAAATTTTTTTTTGTCACTCGAACAAAACATTTTTTTTTCGATTAATATGTGTTTTTTGAGTAAGAAAATCATAATTAAAATTTTTTTTCCTCGTGCAATTTTTTTAGAACAGCAAATTATGCATTTTCGAGGTGTGACGTTACATAAAGTCACCGGTAGAGAAAGCAGTTAATCCAAATGTATAAAATAAATCACCATTTGAAAGATAATTAAATTACCTCTCAAACCATTGGTCAACCAATAAAATCCATTCAAAATTGTCAGAGTTACAGTCGATCAAATTTCAAATTTGAAGCAAATTTTAATGATTTTTAGATATTCGTCTAAATTTCGCTAATTTTTTCAAAGTCAAAAAATCAAAAAAATGCAGGTTTTAAATTTTTTATTAATAGTATATTTAATTACGAAACTTTTAAGCCTTTATAGACCTCGATCGGATAAAAAATGACAATTCTACACTAGATTAATTGAACAAAGTACTTTTTCACTTTTAGTATATTTTCAAGTGATTTCGATCTATATCAGTTTTGTATAAAACTAAGTTAAGAGAAGCTCACCAACATGAGTACTCAGGGGTTTTCGAGGTCGCTGATTACGAATCTGAGATCAGCTTTTCAAAATTCATAATGGCGGATCCCGTATATTATAATTTTATTTACGTTATCGCGTAGTGACAATATCTATAGTCTGGTTTGATTTTATTTCAAATAGTACTATATTTTATATAATGGAAAATCCCCCACGAAAACTCCCGAGTACTCATAATGGTGTACTTAGCTCTAATTATTAAAATTATGTCCGCCATATTAGATCCGCCATTTTGAATTTTTAAAAACTGACCTCGAATTCGTAATCAGCGACCTCGAAAACCCCTGAGTACTCATTTTGGTGAGCTTCGCTTAACTTAGTTTTATACAAAACTGATATAGATCGAAATCACTTGAAAATATACTAAAGGGGAAAAAGTACTTTGTTCAATTAATCTACTGTAGAAATGTCATTTTTTATCCGATCGAGGACTATAAAGGCATAAAAGTTTCGTAATTAAATATACTATTAATAAAAAATTTAAAACCTGCATTTTTTTGATTTTTGACTTTGAAAAAATTAGCGAAAGTTAGACGAATATCTAAAAATCATTAAAATTTGCTTTAAATTTGAACTTTGATCGACTGTAACTCTGACAATTTTGAATGGATTTTATTGGTTGACCAATGGTTTGAGAGGTAATTTAATTATCTTTCAAATGGTGATTTATTTTATACATTTGGATTAACTGCTTTCTCTACCGGTGACTTTATGTGACGTCACACCTCGAAAATGCATTATTTGCTGTTCTAAAAAAATTGCACGAGGAAAAAAAATTTTAAATATGATTTTCTTACTCAAAAAACACATATTAATCGAAAAAAAAATGTTTTGTTCGAGTGACAATTTCACTGTAAACCTGTGTAATAGAATCGGAATCGAAGAACATTTTAATTATAGATGATGCTTTTCATTTTTTAGCTTCTTGGTAATGATTTATTATTGCTTCATTTTTGCTTTTTGATCTCTTTCTCTTCACCTTATTTTTTTAATTAATTTAAATTTTTTTAATCTTATGGTGTCAAACGTTCATAAAAAACCTTCATGAAGATTTTTTCGCTCAGCGCCGACATTTGTTTTTCACAAGACCAAAAATATTAAATTATATTTTTAAAAAGATTTTTGGTCTAAATAATGCTTTGAGAAATATTTTTCAAAGTATTATGTGGACCCAAAACTTTTTTAAAAATAATTTGATATTTTTGGTCCCGTGAAAAATAATTTTCGACGCCGACTTCATGGAGGTAATATAAAAAAGGATATTTCTATACAAGGTTTTCTGCACAAGGAATAAAACTAAGACTTTTAAATTAGTTAAATTGTGACTGAATATAAAGTCAATATATATGAACTTTTTTAATTTTTTGATCATATGCGTTTAATATATATTATATTGAATATAAGTTAATAAATTAACTTTTAAATTCTAGAAGTTCATAATACAATTTTTAAAAGGTGATACGTGAAATTTTATTCATAATTTTCTTATACCATTCGTATTTATCATTTAAAGTATTTTCATACTTTAGCTTCACATATAAAACCTTGCCCAATACTTCTAATCCTTCGATGACCTTTAAAACACGTTCTTCTAAATGAAACTTGCTTCCAGGTAAAAGAATTACACTCTTCTCTTTTTTGTTGTAAAATTCTTCTATTTTTGCCCTTAGATATGGCCCAGTAAATTCCATTTCATAAAAAATATTTACATATCCAGCTGCAGGATAACCAGCAAATCTAATAGCTGATTCTATACTAGTATAAGCTTGTGTAAATTTTTGCAGAGTAATGTATTCTTCACGAGTTGCAGTTCTAAGAAATGGAATGGGTTTAGAATCAACTATAAATAATTTTAATTCAAAATCTTTCTTCAAATTGTCAGACTGTCTTATAGCTAATTTATATAAAGCAAGTTTCATTAGTTTTGCTTCATGGGTATCTCCAGTTATTCTTGTATATCCTGTTGTCACATAATTTCGTATTGCATAATAATCATGAAATGTGACAGAATACCTTGCGTCCTGTTCATTGTAATTTTTAACTATATTTTTTAACGATGTATTTTCTTCAATCCTACGTCTTTCTGCTTTCGAGTAAAAAGAACTGATTCTAAATTCTGCATCATATTCTCTTATATCATGTCCTTCAAAATGTGATTGATATCTTAATTCACTTAAAATATTAGAATTGTCTATTATATAGTTTTGACTCCATGTAGGTTCTTCAAATAAAGTGTTTTTAAACAAATCATTGATAAATTTATTTAGAGTTGTACTATTTGGAAATGTGTATTTTTCAAACATATTGCGTATCTGTTTCTCAGAAAAATTTGTATTGTTCTTGATAAACTGTACGGCTCTTTCTTCGTAGTCAGATTTTTCAATGAAACGTCCTCGCCTTCGGCAATAGTTAAAAGGTTTCCACATTTTAAAATAATTCATATCATTACACTTCTCATCATAATCATCAGCTTCAATTGATATTCCAATAAATGAAACTTTAGTAGGGTACCTTTGAAGTTGGTTATTAATTTCATACATCATATGCTTAGGTTCAGATTTAAAAGTTACGTTATTGAAAGTAACATATATTTTCACTTCTTTTTCCGAGCTTCTGATTTGTGAAACTAATATCTGATTTTTAAATTCATAATCAGTTCTTAACTGTGCAGTTTTTGACATATTGTCAGATACGAAGATAAACTTATAACCATAACCAGTATCAGTTCGATTATTTAAAGTATTTACAAAAATTAATCGACTATTATTTTCATCTATAGTGCCAATGCTATTGTAAAAGTTGGATTTTAAAGTTGATATTTTAGAGAGACTTCCAATGACTGATGTAAAACTGAAATCGGTCTTTTCTTTTAAAGAATTTATTAATTCTTTAAGTACACTTATCTTGTCTTTAGTTGTAAATGTTAGCAAAAATGCTGGATCTTTTATGTGTAAACAAATATCATCAAATATTTTATCTCTATTCAATGCGTTTGTTATTGAGAATTTATAATTTTGTTCTACTCTTACAATTTCATTCACTGTTTCATTACTTGCAATTTTTAAAAATAATGATGTCATTTTCGTCCCTAATGATGACAAAAAAGACCGTGAATTATTGCTTATTGTTTTTAAAGTTATGTATTTTGGGTATTTATAAAATAATGTTATAATACGTGTTGCACAAATTTTCTCGTAATTAATCCTACACGTATCTGATGAACAAGGATAGTATGGCACTAATGATAAACCAAATTCTTTCCACCAATCACTTTTTAGTTGCTCATTTTTTTCTTTACAATTGTCGAAAATTCGTAACTGAGACTCAAATCGTGATTTTTTATACTTTACTAAGTTTTGAATAAATACATTAACATTCTCGTCAGTTCTTTTAAGAATTTTAGATGTTGCTACACTGAATAATTTTTCAAAATATAATCTGTCTTCTGTAAAAATTTGTGTATTAGCGTAATTAGTTAATATAGCACTATAATTTTCTCGTTTTAAAATATAGTAATCAAACCTTCTGCCAGTAGGAAAAAAAACTTCCAAAACATCATAAGCTAAATGTTCTGATTCAGCAAAAACGCCATGTGTTATATTGTTAGGAATAAGTAATTTTATAATAACTTGCATACTGTCAAGTTTGTCTATCAGAGCTTTTGGAAACGCATCTTGGACTATTTGAAAATCATATATTTCATATAATTCGTTGATGTTATAATTTGTGTTCCAAAAATATTCTGTTAGATTGACATTTTTACATCGAATTGTTTCTGAATAATTGGAATGAAGAGAAAGTGTAAAATTTCTTTCATTCTCGTCTAAATCTGCACAATATAGTTCCATAAAAGTTTCAGTTAATGCGGTAATACTTTGAAATCTAGAAAGTGCCTTGTGCATTTTTATCATGATGTCATTTTTTAACGTAGCATTTATATCATTAAAAGCTTTAGCTGTATATTGAAACAAACTGTTATAAGCTGCTTGCCAGAAATCTGGATCGGAAATTATATTTGCCATGTTTTCATAGGTATATAAATATTTTGAATTGAAAATAAAATGCGTAAGAGCTGGAAGAGCAAAAGCTTTCATCATATCGAAATTCTGCTCCTCAATTAGAATTAATGTTTCCATTACATGACCAATCACTAAGTATTCGTCAAATAAATTATCCTCAGTTAGATTTGCAAAATTTTCTTTAAAATCAATATAATTATGATTATTTATTCTACCAGCTCGGAGAAACATTGAACCAGCTTGTGCATAAATATAATCAAGGGACAATAAACTAAGATTAGCTTTTGGCAGAGGAAACATAGGTAATATTATGTCATAGTATATTCTATCCACTGATAAAGGACTGAGAATCGATCTGTCTCCATATTCGTTTTCATAAGAAGTATTTCCAAGATTTATTTTTATTATATTCAGCACTTCTTCTATTTGTAAAGTTTCTGCTTTACAAAAAATATCTGCCAAGAAACCATAAATACTACCATACTTGTCAAATACTATAGAGCTAATAATGTACTCGAACATCGCATTAACAAAAGTGATATCAACGTGTTCTTCTTTTTTTGCTCCATACAGATCGCTCCCTTCTAACAAGTTTCTAATTAATGCAACTTTCTCAGGTTGATTATTTTCATAATATTGAATATATTCATAAAGTGCATTGACAATTGGTATTGGTTTATTTTGATCGATTTCTGCTAGGTATAGTTCAGTGAATAAAAAATCACTCAATATATTTAAATAAGTATAAATTGGTATAAGCGTTATCGTTTCTAGTGGATTTTTAAATGTGTCCATTCTTGACAGTTGAGTTTTGATAGTAGTGGCAAAATAATAACCTGGAAAATAATTTATTTAGTTGTGGAATAATAATTTCTCAATATATGATTATTAGTATATTTAAATTCCCATTAATTTTACTGTAATCCCTCTTTTTTAAAGAGCTGTGTTCACCTGACAGAACCAAATCACACTGACTATCGGATATTCTAGAACTACCTTAGAAATTGATTAAAAATCACAGTAAAAACAAAGTCTTAAACTGTTTACACCTTAAATTAAGCCCATATATTTTGCATAAGTCTGTCCTTTTTTAATTGGTCTGACTCCGATTACACCTTAAATTTAGCCTCAAAAATAGGCTGAAATCAAGATTTCTTTTTTAGTGTGATGAATTCATCTCAATTTTCTAAACACCATACATTCACAGAAAATTAAAAGGCATTAAAATAAGCTGCAACGCTTATTATTTTAATCCAATTTTGTTTATTTTAATACCAAAATGGATTAAAATAAGCAAAATTGGATTAAAATAATAAGCGTTGCAGCTTATTTTAATGCCTTCTAATTTTCTGTGTTTCAGTTTTTTTAGAATATTTTGCTGGCTATAATTAAATCTGACAGAACCATGCATTTTTAATTAAAAAAAATAAAGAGCCGGAAATTCTGGAATAGAGTATTAAAATTAGTTCTAAATGTGTCTATATCCATACTATGATTTGGTTCTGTCAGGTTCCTTCTTTTTTATAGACTATTATGTGAATGGTTCGAAAATCCACAAGGAGAAAAATGAGTTTGCTATTAAATGGATATAATCCATATAAAAGCAATTGGGATTAGTTAAGGTAACTAAATTTTAACTAATGTAGGTAACTATTTTTCTCCGTTTAATATAGAAAAAATGCATAAGAAATGAATTTAAGTTTTCATACCTGCTATTTAATATTATATTGCACTTCACTGTACTGATGAATTTTTTTAAAGAAGTTGAAAATGTTTAAACAAAATTTTTGTTAATCTACATATAAAACATTTTATTATTTGTATTATTCTATTGACACAATTGAAAAAATTAAATTAAATTTTAAGCCGATTCACATAGATAATAGAATCGTAATGTTAAGTATTGTACTCTAATTTTATATTATTCGAAGAAAATTTTGATTGCATTCGATGCTTTTCATTTTTTGGCTACTCGGTAACGATTTATTATTGCTTCCTCGCAGATAAAATATTATAATACTACACATTTTCAAGTTTGATTTTTTACACGTATCTTTTTTTGACCTCAAGTTCTTACAACTATGTAAATGCATTTTTGTTAAAAAAGAGTTATTTTTGAAACTCTTTTATTCTATTATTGATAATTTTTGCTTTAATTCTATCTATAATTATTAATATTTTGAAAATTATAATTCTCAAAAAAAAAAACAGTAATTTTAATATTCGTCAATTGATACAATTATAAACACGTGCGCAGGCACATGTGGTTCTACGATCTTTTTCAAGGTAAAGATAATGACAATATTATCAATATTTTACCATAAGCAAACTAACTCATTAAACATTTTGTTTATTCTACTGTAAAGAAAAGAATGGAATTTATTTTATTCTAGCGCATAATTTAACAATTTAAGCATGCATAAATAAAATAAACATTATATAAAATATTCTTATTAGAAACAACACAAAGTACGATAAATTAACATGGAAAAATATGATAAGAATAAAATATTTTAAAAATATAGTAACAAAATAAGAGATCGAAAAATATAAATATAGAATAGGGTCAGTTGGGGTAAATGGGGACAAGAGGTTTTGGAGCTTAATTTACAGTTTTAAAATGAAGTTCAACGTCAATATTTTAACCTCAGATTACCTGCAAGAGGTTTTGAGTATTGCCAAGCTTTTATATTGACAATTGGCAGCAAGATAAAAAAAGTTATCGCTCAATGCATAAAAACTTGAAAATCAAAGTCAAACTGTTTCAGTATTTTGTCGAGCATTTCAAAGAAAACAGACTTAAAAATCATACCAAATTTTTTTCTTATTCCTTATGACTTCTATAACAGAAATTCACTTGAATTTTTGATTTTTGTCAATTTGGTTAATAATGACAAGCTGTCCCCATTTACCCTGAGTTTTCAAATTTTTGGGGTAAATGGGGACAGTTTGTCATTATTAACCAAATTAACAAAAATCAAAAATTGAAGTGAATTTCTGTTATGGGAGTCATAAGGAATAAGAAAAAAATTTGGTATGATTTTTAAGTCTTTTTTTTCAAATGCGAGACAAAATACTGAAATGAAAAAAAAATAAAAAAATTTCAATTGGTTCAACTATTATATATCTACTACAAATTTTTTTTCAAGTTTTTTCATTCCTTAATACTGTAATATACTTAAGGAAACTTTTTTCTTAAAACTTTCTTAGAAACTATGCTGTCCCCATTTACCCCAAATTTTATGAAATTTTCTAAATTTTGGGGTAAATGGGGACAGTCAGTTTCATGCGTTTAAAGCTTATATAAATTTTTTTCTGCTGCATAAAATTAATCCTGGGAACGTAAATAACAACATAAAAAAATATAAACCCGCAAATATTACCTTTTAAAGGAAGAAACTTACGTAATTTGTGGAAAATAGCGATTTTGTCCCCATTTACCCCAACTGACCCTATATACACTGGAATCTCCAACCATTGCAGCGCGCGAGTCTTATGTGCAATGGATGGAGGTTACCCTTGACATCAAGATTATGTCAAAAAGTAGAAACACTCAGGGCCGTACATATTATATACTTATGTATTGGATATATCTTCGAATAAAAATTGAGATTTATTTAATTCTTTATAAAGTAGAAAAATATAAATATAATTACGTACATTTAAATTATAATAATGCAGTTTGTAATATCGATAACTCCGATCGATTGTTTAAATTAGAAAAAAGGAAAACGAAACTGGGTATAAAAGAACACGTAACTGTGACGTTACTGCTTTTTCTTGACTGACGCCATTTTTTCCCCTCTGTCAGAGATGCAATGGTTGAAGGTTCCAGTGTAGTTTAATTATCTAGGACAACAATCTTAAAGAATTTTTGTTTTTAACGATCCGAATGTTATTACGAATAATTAGATATGTCATTCGAACATTATCATAAATAATTATAATAGTCATGGGAATTTCTCGTCAATTATATTATAAACTGATTTTTTTCTTTATGTAATAAAAAATATATATCTGAATTTCAACTGGAATTTTCAATCGGAATTTTCTGCGAGCACTTTTCCAGAAACTTTTTCACGTGGTGGGTTGGGTGTCCTACGTGGTTATTTTGTAAAAGAAGTGTTCTATTAAACACATGCAAGTTTAGTCTGCATTTCGAGTGTTGTTCTCCTTTGATTTATGTTTTTTTTTTTTACTATAAATAAACGATTTGTGCAATCTTTCTATTTCACTTTTATGTCTCCCAATTTTTATAATGCAATCGACCTTTTGTGAGCTCTCCAGAATGTGTTGAGTGATTACATCAGGATCGCTTCTGTTTTGCCTGTGACCTCTGAGAGTTGTTTTCCACACAATAAAGCTTTGTCGTGAATAATGACAACAAAGCCTGTTTAATTGTTATTTCGTAGAGTCGTAGCTTTTGTCACTTTTACATCTTGTGTTTGTCAATTCCATCAAGGTTACAAATATATGTTAAAAGGGAACTAAAAACCTTAGTGATTGGGAAATTTCTATTCGTTAAAATTTTCTTTTTTATTTTAATTAAATGGCAGATGTGGACATGGATATAATTGTTGTGACGTTATAGTGCAATTGATAGATTACACAAAACAATATAAAATTTAATTTCGGAAATATTGAACATTGTTTCCATTAATTTTTCAATCTTGTAAATAAGGTGTAAAAATAACAGATTGTTAAAAAGTTGATGGAATTCACTTCAAACTTACTCTTTTGGGGGGGGTTTCTGGGCTTGATCTAATTTTTTTTTTAATTTAACATTAGATTTGTAATTAATGACTCCAAATTATGAATTACCTAATATTTGATATAAAGTAACGAAATCCGTGATCTAACTTCTCGAAATATGCGAACTACATTCGCATAATTCTTGATATTATTTCCAGGATTTCGTGAAATATTTTTGAGGAATTCGTGATCTAATTTAAGCAAAATTCACGACCTAGTTTCACGGAATTTATGATGTAATTTCGAGGAATTCCTGATCTAATTAAGCGAAATCCACAACCTAGTTTCTCGGAATCCGTGATTTAATTACGCTAGTTACGCGGAATTCGTGATTAAATTTTGCGATAAACGTTACTTAGTTTCACGAAATTCGTGATTTAATTTAGCGAAATCCGTTACTTGGTTTCACGTAATTCGTGATCTATAATTTCGTGGAATTTGTGATCTAATTTAGCGGAATCCGCGACCTAGTTACGCGGCATTCGTAATAAAATTTTGCGAAATCGGTGATATGGTTTCAAGGAATCCGTGATTTAATTCGCTAATCCGCAACCTACACTGAAAAAAAAGTTCTGGTTAAAGTTACTAGATGCGTTTGGTTAAAAAATTTCTAGTTATTTTAACAAGAAAATATAGTTAAAAAGACTAAACAGTTCTAGTTAAATAAGTATGGTTAAATTATTCTGGTTAAAATAATTCTGGTTAAAAACGCGCGTTCGCGGACACTGCATAGCGTCTGTTGTTCTTTTTCGAATAGTTTATCGTGCGGATCGCAAGAATGGATGAAAAAGTTAACCAAGCTCTGGAAAATTGGGGTTTGGGAGAATTAAAAGATCTGTTTAAAGGTTGGTTAATTAATTTTATAATATAAGTGAAAAAATTGTTGACGAACGGCAAACCCGTTCGTGTGGAAAATAGTTTGAAGGTTATGTTGAAAACGTGCTCGACACGTTTTATCAGAATTTTAGTTCTGAATAATCATATTTAAATAAACATTATTAAGAGAATTGCAGTGTAAAGGTGTTATTGTTTGATTGCATTTATATGTACATAATACAAATTTTTTTAATTCATATTTTATAATATTTTATAATATAATATAATAATAATAAATTTAATTAATTCTCGGATTAACTAGAATTTCTGGTAAGATCAACCAGAAATTTTTTTACCAAAAATTTTTAACTAGAAAAATTCTAGTAAGATTAACTTGAAATTCTGGTAAAATTAACCAGAATTTTAACCAGAACTTTTTAACCAAATTTGCTAGTACTTTTAACCAGAAAAAGTAGTAAGGGTATATATAACTTTTTATTCTGGTTAGATTAACCAGAATTCTGGTTATTTTAACCAGACTTTTTTTTCAGTGTAGTTACGCGGAATTCGTGATTTAATTTAGCGAAACCCTTGACCTTATTCTGTGGAATTCGTGATATATAATTTTGTGAAATCCGCGACCTAGTTTCGGTAATTATTGATGTAATTTCAAGGATTTTGTGACACATTTTCGAGAAATTCGTGATTTAATTTTTCTAAATCCGTTATGTAGTTTCGCGGAATTCGTGATCTACTTTAGTAGAATCTGCGACCTAGTTTCACGGAATTCATTATCTAATTTCACGAAATCCGTTATGTAATTTCGCGGAATTCGTGATCTAATTTCGTAATATTCGTTTCTTTTTTTAAGGAATTTGTGATCAAATTTCGCGAAATCAGTGACCTATTTTTGCGGAAGAAAGTTACAAGGTTACCGCAAAATTTTTTGCGAAAAAACTACTTTATAATATTAATCGAACCAAAAATTAGTTTATTATTATTATTTTTTTATTTATTGATTTTAAAAATTAAATTGCATAATTTAGTTACATAATAAATTTTTTACTTTCTTTACAGAAGTGCAAGCAAGAGGAAGGGTTCTTTGAAAGTCGTCCAGAAAAGGTTATATAGCCATTGTTCTGACTTTAGGATATAACTTATCGGTGAGTCGTTTTTTATTTAATCCTTTCTCTGTTTGATTTAGTCCTTGAGTCTATTTTATTTACCAAAAATCAATTGCAATATAGCAAGTTGTGTATCAATTATCCAGAAAGAAACAGTTTTCTGACAAACTTAAAAGTTACCACTCGATGCGAGTTCAGCAATCAAATCTATCGGAAAAATGTTTATTTTATTGCACGAGGTGCACACGATAAATTGTGTAATAATAATTGTTTTTATAAACTCAGTTTTTGTCTTTTTAATAACAATAATTTAAATTAATTTTGTACACGGAAAACAAATGTTTGCTGGCCAAAATTAGATATCTTATCTAAAAAGTTTGAAAAGAAATTAAAAAATATTGGTCGGTCAGGAGTTAAAAATTTTGTTCTCTGGTACATAAATATTCAAAGTTACTGCTAATCAGTCGCCACTCTATTAATGGAATCCATAAGTTTGCACTTATAGACAGTAAACTTTTGTTGTGAAGTTTAGACATAAATTATATTTAAAACTTTATTAATTACTAGAATCTAAATTAATGAATTTAGCGGATTTGTTAAAAAATTTATTCATTCAAATTTGTAAACTATAAATATGTAAGTATTACATTTTAAGAGATGTTGACAAAATATATATTAAGTTTATGTAGGTCGTTTTGAATGTAAGTGACAATTTAACCGATAAACCTAACATATAAAATATATTTATTATTATTCGCATCATACAAAAAATATGTTTAATATAAGATTTATATCTTACTTGGTGCAGCAAGAAAGTTATATTAACCTTATAATAAACATATTTTTTTGAATGTGAATAATATTAAATAAATAATTGTGGCTGTATGAATTACCTATTTTATTAGTAAGGTTAACTAACTAAATGTTATCTGTTACAATATTTATTAGTTATTGGTACTAACTAAAATAAGTTCTACTTACTAATAAAATGATAACGACAAATATTTATCTTTTTACTATTATAAATGGTATTCCTGACTATCGAATTAGCATAGCAGTATAGTTTACTAACCAAAATGGTATTCGTAACCATTTTATTCGTTGCCTCAACTACTTTGTCTTCTCAGTGCATGCGAGATTTTTCAAAATTATTCTTAAATGTTTTATATACTACATTTGTAATTCTATTATGAAAAGGTCATAGCAAAGCGTTACATGCGTAACTGGTACTTCAATTTAAAATTTATATTTATCGATCTAATGTTTTTTATACCTATATATTAAAGAATTAAAACCTGCATTTTATTCTGTAACGCTCTTTTATTTAAAAAAAAAAACGAAAATAGCAACGAAAATTATTAACGAGAAAAAATATAAAAACTAAAGAGTCATATGTCTTGTTGTTATCGGTCACCACCGAACCAGGAGCATCGATTTTCTTTTTTGTGATTTTTAACATGAATATTTAAGAAGTTTATTTTAAATACAGTGAAATTCAATTAGTACTTTATTTCTGGATACTTTTAAAAATCCAAGGTAAAATTTGATTTATTTCTTCAATTTAAAAAGTTTCTCGTCTCGACTTTGGTATAGACAAATTTATTTGGAGAATTTTTTTTTAATAATTTATTTTTTTAAATGGGTGATTTGCAAATAATAACTGTCAAATTACATGTCTCAAATGATAAATTACTAATAGAAATATTTTTTGTGTCGATTAGCTTAAAAAATCACCTATATTAATAATAATTGCAGTCTATTTTCGAAGTTATGTATATTGTTCAGATGATAATGTAATTATTTTTCTAGTTAAAATTGAAAAGAAAGGCTAAATTTTGAATTGGTGAACGAATTCTTATTAATTTAAATTTAGAGAGTAACACTAATTTTAATCTATTTACGAAATTGTGACTTTTCTACTTAATTTCATTTTTAATTTATACATGAGGGGTTCCAGGCTAATCCAATACATTATTGACTATTTGACATTTCAAAAAAATGACTTCCTTTTACAAAAATTTTAAGCCTGGTGGCCGTCAAAGGTAAAAATGTTGTTTTTAATTCTTTCATAATTTTTTAAAATTTTCAAAATTTAAAAAAACTTCTTTTATTACCTCCGTTTTTTTGATTGTAGGAAAGTGTAGTCAGGGTTGGACAGTGGTCAGAGTTAAGCCATCGCGTTTATTTTGTTTTATCACACTAGAGCCATCTGTCTTTGTATGTAAGTACTTGTTAGCAATATCAGCGAACTTTTCACATGTGTTGCAGTGAAGTTTGCGAACAATAAAGACGTATTATGAGAGTCAGTGCTATACGCTAAAAAAAACAACTTATTTCTTGTTTCAAAAGAAGCGAAAATCTGAAAATTACACTGTTTAAATTATAACAAAGTATATGTCATTTTGGAGATCGGGAAAACACTTGGACTGTATTTAAAATAATCGGAAACGTTTGTAACTATGTTAACATTATTTTTATTAAACTTATTGAAACGAATTCCGGAATCGTAATTTCAATAATTTTTTGTCTAACTTGACGACGATTCAAGTCTAATTGAACCATAATATATATAAGGTCATTCATTCACTATACAAGAGACAGAGGTCTCCTTCCAAACTATTTTCTTTTGAATATATTAAAGTAATCAAGGTTAAAATGAATACAATGACAAACAAAATCAAAATTAATAATACAAAATAAAATTATAAAATAAAACAAAAGATATAATAATAATTTCTAAACATACACAATAAGGGCTTTTTCTTTCAATTTCGTGGCTCAACCCTGACTACCTGGCTCAAGTCTGACAACTTTTTTTTTAATTGCCTATAACTCGGAAAATTTTGGTCAAATATTTTTACAGTGTTCGGAAAAAATATTGCATTTTAGTCGATTTTTCGAACCAAATGCGATAAATCTCGAAATTCGGCCAACAGGGGAAGTTATAGAGAAAAGTCAAAACTATGTCCAAATATGACTACTCTCCCTTATGTGACGCTCCACGAGAAAAGGCAAAAAATTTTACATTATCTTTGTCATTTTTAGATTGAAAATACAAAAAGAGGATCAACTCTTAATACAAACAATTGATGTTTGTCATCATCAGATCCAAAATATTCAATAGAAACTATTTTTAATTTTACATAATTAAAAATGGACGTTTAATCAAGCAAAAATTATAACTAAATATAACATAAAATTTTTTTTCCTTTAAGTTCCCTTTGCTTGTAGAGTGTCAGATATATAATTTTTTAAATATTGACTTAAGACTGATTTTTCATTGACTTATAAACATTTGGTCCAATATTAAGCCAATGATTAGTCTCGGAAATTTCCCATTGGATAGAAAGCAAAAATTGTTCACTTCCTGCCGGTTGACCCACTCTCCCCTAAACGAAATTCAGCAAAACTTGAATTTTCTTAAATATTTCATTGTTATACATAATAATTTCATTATCACTATATAAATAAAAATATCTACAATTTTTTCCCCTTTTAAACTCATTTTAGTATTGTAGTTCCTCCCCTACACATTGTTCTTTTAATAATTGATCTATTAGATTACAACACTAGTAATTTTAATACCAAATGAAAAAAAAAATGTTTCCCGATTCTACATATTAACTAATTCTTTTTTTTTTCATGCGTACATTTTAAATCAAGGGACAAAATCAAAAAAATCTAACAAAAAACTTCTTAAAACATATTCAAAATATTAATCATCTGTCACCGTTGTAATATTTATTCCATTTCCGATTATTACCTCCATTATAATTTCCATTCATTCAAGAGGAGGTTTTAAATTAACTTTTTTCTCCTCATTCTAAACGCCGTCATGCAACTTCCTAAAAGAAGAAAAAAATCACTTCTCTCTCTCTCTCTCTTTCTCACCATCAGACAAAGCACCCCTTCCGTAACTCTAGTTGAAAATGAACGACCGAAGGAAATTCTTAGGCCAAGAATCAGTATGTTATAGTGACAGTAATTGCGCGAGTTGGCGACACGCGATTCGTTTGCCTAAAATGAGGAAGCAAAGGAAGAAGAAAAAATATTTAGAGGGTGTTGAACATTGCCTCAGAGGGACGGATTGTTGAGGAAGAAAGAGGGGCAGGGGGGGGGTTAGAGAATAGGTACTGATAGAAGTTGAAGAATCAGAATACCGAAGAAAGGGACAGAAATTGTGACGAGGAAAAGATAGAAATTCGTTAGAAAGAAAGCTAACTAAAAAAAGAGAAGGGGGTGGAAAGAAGCGAAAGTTCCTACAGGCAGGTGTAAGAGAGATGAATGATCAGAGGGACAAAAGGTGGATAGTGACAGAAAATAACACAGAGACAGAGCGAGAGAGAGAGAGAGAAGTGGGGAAAGAGAATAGGATGAGAGAGAAAGAGGGAAAGAATGTTTTGTCTATGGAAATGCGTTAGAAGGAGAAAGAGAAGGGGAAAAGGGGGAGGTAATATGCCCCGCCTTCATCGGCGCCAAACGGCTCTGCTCGTTGTGTGGTGGCTTGGCGCTCGGTTTCGCTACTCACACACACAGATTTTCTCTCTCTCTCTCTTTCTCTATCTATCCTTCTCTCTCCCTCTCATTTGAGCAACCGTAGAGCTTTTCCACCCTCGACCTCCTGTGCATCCCCTACTCTCTCTCTCTCTCTCTCTCTTTTTCACTCTGCAAGCTCCACGGTATAACTCCTAACCCCCCGCAATTGAATCGATCGCCCCCACGGCGCCACTGGCGCCTCAGAAACACCGCCAGCGTTCTCCCTCAGTCTGAACTCGGGTTCACTCAGTCCACGACCGTTTGCCACGAGACTTCGAGCTCGCACACTAACACACACGTTCTTTCTCTTCCTTCCTTTTTTTCTCTCTCTCTCTATCTGTCCCTCTGTCTCCGTCGCAGAGCCAACAGACCAGCGGTCAGCCGAGCACAAAGACGCGAGAGAGAGAGAAGATTGACGCAATTTACCAAAAAAAAAAAAAAGGGGAAAAAACAAAATAACGCAGCTTTACCGGTTTTTCGTCACTTTTGACCATTTGTGAGAA